CGGAGAAGAACCCCGGTCACCTTCACAAAAGTGAAGCACACCGGGTATTCCCAGGAGCTCCGCTACCATGTTGAGATGTAACTTGGGCGTGTATCCCCTCGCACAACGTACAGCTAGGAGCACAAGCACGCAAGTGTCTCTTTTCTACAGGCAATCGGCCGTAGTCTCGATACTTTGCTATGCTAGAACCTTGAGCACAGGCATGGAAACATGCAAGTGATACGTGAAATCTGCAACGCCCGGAATGTGTAGCATTCGGTACTTCACCCCTTGCCCCCCGCCCCCGCCCCCCTACACGGACCCTCCCCCAAAGCAGTGGTGTTGAAGGATTGCTCACCGGCCGCCCCGCGGCTGATGCTTATGTCGACACTCTCCAAACTGCCACTCGAAAAGGGGATGTGACTTTATTTGTTGTTGAGTAACAATTTGTTGTGGCAAATTAGCTTGCTTGATTTAACACCTCTCAACTCATCGAATTCTGAGTTCCGGTAGGTCATGAATCTTGTGTTGCAGCTTTGGCTTGCGACAGCTGAGGATTTCTTTTTCCCACCCGACCCACCCTGGAAGTTGAGCTTGTCGCTTCATGTTGTGCTGGTCTGGTTATCAGGCAGTGTGGACCAGCCCCAATGAGAATAAAAAGACTGTCGAATGCTTCTCTCTGCATGTGCATTTTATTACATCTTATTTGATATGTTACTGTTTGAGACCGATTTGCAAGTGAATTACTATACAGTGAATAAAAAGATGATACTCTGATGGTGGGCCTCCCCTTCACAGAGTGACAGTTTGGGGCCATGATTGGGGCGCACCTTAAATCTGATTGTGGTAGCCAACTCCAAGCCAATGCTTCGGAATTTAAATCAATGTACATGTTTGTCTTTTTTTAGGTTTGAAGCTAGTTCATGCCAATGCAAAGCCGATGCCTAATTACAGAACGCTTCTTCAGAACACACCTGCCCAAGGAAACTCTCCCAAAAAGCTGCTTCAAAATGCTTCAAAATGCTGTAGAAACGCTTTTTAATTGTTTCGATAAATTCCAATCCAAGGCTGCTTCCGAACCTCATTATAGCAGGCTAGCAGCCTGCAGCATTTTGTTTTTGCACCCACCCTCCACACCCGTTGGGGGGAATACAAGCTCAGCATGCACTGCTGTCATCCCTTCAGAACCCGCTTTGTTTGCTACAAACACTGCAACATACGCCGTCCAAAAAGAGCGATTGCACTCTTTCTCTCTTTCTGGTATGCATAGCATGTATAAGACTAGAGAGCTGTGTCGTTCCGCCAACACGGTAAAACAAAAATACTGCGTCATGAGTGCTGGAGCAGTGCCAGCCTATCTAGAACAGGCCCAGGTTGAGAGCGGCGCAGAGCAATTTTTGATAATTTGCAGCGCTGTGTCGGGAGTTTGCATAGGCGTTTTTTGCTTCAGCAGAGCTTGTGTGGCAAGCCCCAACACGTCAAATTCGCTAAAAGCCCTGCTTTAACGAATTTGCAAGACCCCGCAACTTGCAGCAAGAGCTTAGCCATAATTACGACGACCATCCTGAAGCTTTTTGGTCCCTCCGGTTTTTTCCCTTGCTCCCGTTGACATGTTGGGTCAGTGGATGTGGGATAGTATTTGGCCAGCAAAACCAACTATGTTGATGTTTTGTTGACGGCGACCAATTGCTGCGCTGCCCACGCAAGAGTTCGCTGTGCTGTTTTGCAAAATTGTCGTTGTCTGCCAGGCCGCGCGAGGAGGGCCTGTTGCCTGTGACATTTTGGATGTTTGATGCCCCGTTGCATGGGGCTCAATGCTAGTAGCATCTTGGAGAAGGGGGGGATGTTGGGATGATGTAGCGAAGTGCGTGCATAGCTGCATTTGTGGACATGTCGGCCCCCACAAGCGGGCTTGCCATTTTGGTGGTGCGATCCTCAAAGAATTTGAGCTGAATCTAGCTTGTCTGTGGGCGCTCTCAGGATGAGAAGCGTGTCAACGAGTTGTTGCAACAGAAGAGTGGCCTGAAGGCCCTCTTGAGGCCCAGATGTTTGTGGTTTTGCGACTGTCGCAGGTTGCGGACATGTGCAGCACATAGACGAACTGGTGTACTCCCAGCGAGGTCAACCTTCAACACCGTGTTGTTTGTTTGCTTCCTCTTGCTCTTCACAGTGCCAGCCTTGATGAGTCTTCCAACGTCCCGGCTGAATTGTTAGCACATGTGCCTGATTGTTTGCATGTCAGTCCCTCGCCCTCAGCGAGCCTCGGTACAAGATGCGGGCGTTTGAGGTGGGCAGTGTTGGTTCGTTGCAGACTCAAGCTGGGCTTGAATGTGAGCTTCTGATCTGCACAGGGCTACTTGAGGAGACGATTTGACACAGCAGCTGCCATCCCTGCAACCTTCTCAGATTCATCATTTTGGTGAAACATCAGTCTTTTTGCGGGGGCTGACATTGCCACGTCCTGTGTGTCACAGTTGGCGGACGTCTCTTCGGTGGAAACTTTCTGGCAGTATCACAACGCATCTTTTATGCCAGCCATCTATGGGTGCAAGCCTCAGGGAGCATGTAAACATAAGTGTTGCAGCCGAGAAGCACCTGTTATCCTGCTTTCCGAGGGAAGACACTGCGAAGTACTCGTACCCTGGAGCAGTCATTCCAACTTGGCTGCAAGTCGAGGGGCCACGGCCTCAATATCTATTGGATCGAGCTCAGTCTATGCATGCAGGGGCACGGCACCTGCATCCCAGGCCGAACTACTTATATGGGATGGGGAGACTACGGATCCTCAACATCCAGCCGAATGTTGACTGCATCTTCATCTGCAGTGAGTGCTTGCCAGGTTGCCAGTTTTGACGAACAGCTTTCAGCAGTGGCTTCAAGTGAATAAGTAGGCGGATGAAGTCCGCTGTCGTCACGAGAGATTGAGATTCGAAGCTCCCGATAGCCTTCCCACGACTTCATAGTTGGTGCACCCAGGCCAGGTTGCTCAGCAGTTTCGGCCCAAAGCTCAGCAAGACTGTCACTAAACACAGCAAACACAGCGTGCCTACGGCTTTCGGGCAGCACTGTGAGGAGCTACTTCCCCTCGTGCTACGGCCCTTTCAATGCCCAGGCCTCCGTTTCTTGTTTTGGTGGGCTTGGACCTGGGTCTTTGTCTCTTGGCACCTCACGCTTCGTGCTTGACATACCCGGAGGCTCTAGATACAGAGCCCTATGGCCCTACCAACAGTCCTTGGCTCAGACCTCAAGGCCTGCTCTCTCATTTACTTGTGTGACTACTGCGAGGTGATGGTGTGGCTAGTTTCATGTCTTGAGCTCAGGGGGCGCCGTGCTGACATGCGTGGAATCCGCCCTGCTGCTTGTTTGCTGTAGGTTCTATGAGGACGGTTCCGGTGAGACCTACGAGGGCATGCTTGCTACTTATCCTGCAGGAGGATACGTTCAGGCAGGTCATTACGTCTTGAAGTGACGCTCAATGTGGGATTCACTTGCCATGCGGGGATGCGGAGACATGTGTACTTCTGCAGATTTTCACTCCGGATTACCTCACCACCAACGCCATGTTCGAAATTATGCGGACCGACGGCCGGGGTGGGTGGGTTGGAGACCTGTCTTGCGAACTCTCCATGAGTGCTTTGCTGTACTTCTGCCTGTGACATCTGAGATTTCGCAAAAGGTAGAGGGACAGACAGCGAAATTGCAGGCTTCATCAGCGAGAAGACCCGTGTGATCTTCTTGGACTGTTGCACTGCCATTAGCGAGGGCGCATGTGCCATGACATTATGTTTTGGCAGACAGGCCATTTGCATGACATTGGTCCACACAGGAATTTGTCATCTACAACTTCAATCTGGGTTTGTACGCTGTTTGCCGGATAGTGTTCGAGGCACTGCCATTTCTGATGCCGGTACCAAATCGACAAGACACGATGACTGCCAGATCGCTGCAGCGGGAGACTGGACCCAGACCTTCAACGTAGACATTCTCCTGCAGAGGCTGCACTTGGCTGTGCGGCTGCGTTCCTCCCTAGCTCTGAGCTGCGAAGTGCAGCCAGGAACCTGCAGCCTCTTGGGGCCGGCACCACCGAGGATTTTATTGGGGTGGAGAGAGAGAGGGCCCCGTAAGGCGGCGTAGTTGGCGTAGTTGAATGGAGATATTGGCAGGATTGGCTCTTTTTGATCCTCGAGGCAGATTCAACGCACTCACTGGAGATCGGTTCGAAACTTGAAACTCGTCGTCAGGCGGCCTTGGTGCTTTTCGTGCTGCGATATGTGCTGGAGGCCAGAGGGTTCCACTGAGTCGCTGAGTCGCTGCGCAGTCACAGCAGACGTTTTGCGAAGCAGGAAGCTTCGGAATTCATCGGTTTCGAGTCCAAGGCCAAAGCTCCAAACAGTCTGACGAAGAAGCCCTACTTCCTCTGCCTCTGGCTAGCAGGGGGGATCGAGAATGGTGTCGATCAAGTGGGAGTGCCGCACCTGTAAATTCAGCAAGCAGCTGCGTTTGTGAGAAAGCTTTGTTGAATTTGTGCCTGCAGCGATGCGCCTCTCTGATCTGAAGCTGCCAAGTTACTTTTTGGATGCATGGAACATCTTGGACTGGTTTAACCTGATCATGATGATCATCACTGTCTGTCGCCAAGCCATGTTTTTGGAGAGGAGGTTGTGGCAAGGAGTGGCCCGAAGCTTGCTTGCTGTGAACCGCCACACCAGACCGCTGTGCCCACTTGCCAGGCTACAAGGTTGACACGTGGTCCAAGGCTGGAGGTCTCTTCGTTGGGAGCTGAGGTTCAACGATGATCCGGCAGGTTTGCTTCCTGCTATCGGTGTGCCTGTGAGCTTATCTCTTTTCAGGTGACGTCGCCTTCGGACTGGAATGACGTCACAGAAGATCTATACGCTTCCAACTTCCACAGCCTACTGGCAGCAGTCGGTTGTTTCGAGCAGTGGCGATCGAACTTCTCTAGATCGTTTGCTCGACTGATCGTTGGTTCTGACTTTTGGACTTTTCGACAAGGTGTTGCCGCAAATGTGCGACAGATACAGAGCCTGGTTGCCTTCAACACAATCCTCACTTGGTTCAAGGCTGCTTCGCTGAAGCTTTGTGGTAAAGAAGCTTGAACGGCTAAGAGGACCATGCTTCCTCAACAGCAATGCAGCAGGCTGTCAAGTACATCAACATCATTCCTTACGTCACGACGTTCATGCAGACCGCCTGATGCTGAAATTGCGCTGCCAAGCTCGATGCAAGGACTTCGTTTGCATCATGCGAAACTCATTCGAATGCTCGCCTAGAGGTCAGCATTTCGCAGCAGAACCTGTGCTCGTGGATTGTCACCAGCCAGCAGTAATTTCCATGCATTTTTGAACCTGTTGCTTGCTCTTTCAAGACAAATGTCCATTGCCATTGCAGTGTAGCAAGCATCTTCCCTCCGCGAGGCAGTGTTCCTCAGCACCCTTGTTGGCTTTGTTCTGGCATTCAGCACGGCATTCGGTTGGCGCCTTTGATAAGGGTCACTTTGACTCAGTCGGCCACTGTAGACGCATGTCGAAATCGATGCCCGAGGTGGCGACGTCTCACTTCTTCGAACACCATTCCAGGCCGGCCGTACATCGCTGTCAGGCCGAAAACCGCTGATTGGCACGTTCAGGCTTTCATTTTTATCATGCTGTCGTGACCTTGGTTTCGGCAGATGTCCTTCACAGCTCGCAGAACCTCAGCAGTTTCTCTCTGTGAGAGCCGAGGACGATTCTGGGCAACAGCGACATGAAGGCCGGAACTTTGCAAACCTGTGCAAAGGAAAAGTACGGCCTGGCTGTGCGCGATCCAGGTTATCTACGACGTAGCGCCCTTCCTCGGATCTCTGCCCACGTCTCAGGGTTCTTCCCAACTCCGACTGAGAATGCGACGTTTGTCCACTGCCTGCATAACCCAGGTTGATAGTGATGTACGTTGTCGGGATCTTCTTCGTCCGCATCCCAGCGAGCTCTGCAAAGCTCTGCAAAGCTCTGGTCCAGCCCGGCCAAGGTTATCATGAACCTCTTCTATGCAATAATTGTCAGCACCCTGTCGGATGCCAAAATAGAGGAGGCGAGAGCTCCCCCTGGCTGATTTGGACGAATACGCCAACGATATGTTGCGTGGGACTTCACAAGCTTGCCGGCTCTGGAGGATGCGAAACAGAAGAAGAAATGGGCAGTCATGCGTGACAGGCCGCTAAGTAGTCTGCCCTTGGTTTTGGCTTTGATTGCCACTTGCCTTTTGATTTTTGACCGAGTCCGATCATTGCGCATTTTCGCCACTGTGTAGTTGAGCTGGACCTCGCTGACATGCATCGTGGATGAATTGACAGGCTATCGGACACCTGGAAAGCGGTGCGCCCGCATCAGAAGCTGCATCTTGTAAGTTGGGAAGGGTGTACTTGCGTCCTTCGAAGTCTCTGAAGCACAACTGTTTGCCAGTTGAATTCTGGTGGCAAGCTGGAGAAGCAATTCCGCCACGTGCTTAGTTTTGATCTACGTTTAAGCCTGCGAATCATCATGTGCCGATGTGCTGTGAGGTGCATGTGTGCCAGGGCTCTACTCTCGGCTGCTAAAACGGCGCAAGAAAGTGGAGCAGCACGAAAAAGCACGGGATGACATGGTCGAGAGCTCAAGTTGCAGATGTCCGAGGACCTCGCAGGCTGAAGATGTTTCATCGGCCAAGGTCCTTGCGAAGCAGATGAAGATCAAGATGCAAGACTCGACTCTTGTGTGCCTGGCTGCTTCACCGGGTGCTCTGATAGGGGCCAAAAGCCAGTCTTCCGCCCAAAGCCGCTCCCGGCCTGGCATGAGAGTCCCTCGAGATGTTCCGAATTCGGCTCTAGGTGTGGATGCTTGCGAATCTTGCGAATCTGCTCAGAGCAGCGAGATTTCTGGCAGTGCCGTGGCCGTGGCCAGGCCCTGGGCCCCGGGAGCTCCACCTGGGGCCGGCGCCCGAAGCGCCAGCTGGCCACGGTCGCCATCGAGGCGCGGAGAGCGCCGGCTGCAGCTGCCAGAGCTCCTTCCCAGAGTTTTGAAGAATTCACTTCCATTCGATTCGGGAGGACAAGGTGGAGTCCGACAGCGAGGGCTCGGAGCCCGACCTCGGCCCGCTCCGCACCATGGACTCCCACTGGGCTCTGCTCTGCCCTCCTCGCTTTGGAGAGCGCATCGTCTTCTGGAGGATCAGCTCCGGGATCAGTCCGGCGACGACTTCATGCAGTGCAGAGCTGAGCAAACCGAGCGGAGGCTCTTTAGTGTCGACTCAGTGTAGACCGATGCTCGCAAGGACCTTTGCTAGCACCGGGTCCTTCCCCATGCTCAAGGCCACGGCCTCATGGTTTAGAGTCCACCCTTTTCTCGCCCTGCTGTCTCAGGATGCAGGCGCCACCGATGGCCAAGATCTGAAAGATGATGCCGTAGATCTCGTGATTGACGTTCCTGCCTCGGCTGTGGCATTTAATTTGTTCGTCAAGACATGCGGAAAGTAAGGAGAACGTGTTATTGCAGTCTTGGCGCCTTCCGCATCAGGCGACTCGGCACATTGCCAACGGGATCGTGGAGTGAACACCTCGGATGGTCTCGCTGTCACACCTCATGGGAGCTGCATCCTGCTGAAATCCAGCTAACGGCCCTGGACTCCATAGGCCCTGGAGGCCCTAAAGAGAAACCGCAGATTCGGATGACGAGGCGGACTCGCGGTGCGCGCGGCGTCCTTCTGCACGAGATGACCGAGTCGATGGAGGCCGCGGATGCTTTTCTGCGGAGTTGCCGAGGATGCCGGCATGTCTAGTCTGCAGTCTGCAAGGTGCTCAACAACGTTTCAACTGTGCTGGAGGCCGCTTCCGGGGGATTGTGGTTCTGTGGTAGCGCTGTCCGGAGTTCATCCTGTTGACGGCAGTGTGTCCTCCAAGGTTTTGAGCAAGCGAACTCGTGACTTGGAAGCTCAGCAGAGACAGATCCTGAAGAACCTCTGAGAGGTCCTTCCAGAATATGCCGCCGCCAGCTGTGTAGCCAGCTCGCTTCGTGAAGCTTTCCAAGCACTCCAGAGTTATGAAGGCAGACAGAAGTGTCGTTGGTATGCTCTGAGAGGATTCTTGGGGTTGACAACTCACGAAAGCAGTTTCACCTTGTTCATGAATTTGCATCACCAGTGCGTGTCACCGTCCGAAGATCTACTTGAGCAGTCGCACCAGGTTTGCCAGCATTTGCCAGTCTGCGGCAGTTGTGACAAATTCGCAAGCTACGCGACTGCTTAGCAAGATTCCGGGTTGTAAATGTCGCTCGCCCATGCAAGGCATGTGGTCGAATGTGATAATGCAATCAGCTGCCGATTAGCATGTAGACAGGTTCAGACGAGCACAAGCTCTTCTCTCTGGTGCAGCTGCACGTTTCATGTGGAGATGCTCCTCGAAAACGGCTTACACCTCTAACGCATGTCTGTTTCCAGCTTTGCCACATTGCTTTTCGGCACTTCGAATTGCCTGGCGTTTGATTCAGAACGACAGCAGCAGGTGGCAAGACGGGACATGCATGCCTGTTGCGCGAGGGTCATTGTGGCTATTTTCGGACGGACATTGCTAGAAGTAGCCCAAGACTCAAGGTCGGCAAATGCCAGATATTGTACACGTGCACATGGAGCCTCTGGTGCCGTCGGACGCAAGCATGCAACAACCCAAAAGCGATGCAGCATGAAGCCTGCCCGGCCGCTTCGTCGGGAGCTCATGTGAAGGGACGCCAGGCTAGGAGTGGGGTTGGCTTGCGGACCGATCAGAGAAAAACAACGCGGCCATCGAACGTCGACCCACTCATGGATACGTCACGGCAGTCGACAGGTTCAGGACAGCGAAAATTTGAAAAACCCGGCGGGCCGACGAATCGGAAAAAGATGTTCGGAAACACAGAGAATCACATCTTCATAAAGCACCGGCCAACTCGTGCTGTTGCTACTTCTTTCGCTTGTGCACCTGCTCCTCGTGCTGCACAGGCCTGCAATTGTATTTGGGATTTCCCAGCCAACATCTCCGCTTCAGGTTTCGGGGCTTGCCCACCGTTATCTCCTTTTTCGGGTTTGGTGGGTAACGATCCGATCTTCTTTCAGGGTTTCGGGTTTACCAACCAACATCTTCTTTCAGGGTTCGGGGTTTGTTAAGCAACAAATCCTTTTAGGGTTTACAGCTTGGTAACCAGTATCTTGCCAACCAGCACCCGCGTTAGGGATTCGGGTTTGCCTCCCAACATTCAGGACTTGCAACGCAACATAAGCAAATGGTGAGTAGTAGAACGATAGACAGTTTAAGGTTTGCTAACCAGCATTGTCTTCGTTTAGGGTTCGGGCTTTTGCGACCATGACACATGATTCAATGATATTCCTGTCGTGTTGAGGGTCCACTGTCCTTCGTGAAGGTTCCGGGTATGACTAAGCAATTGCATTGTAGCGTTTCGGCTTGTCAATCAGTATCTTCTTTTAGGGTTTGGGAGCCTGCCAACCAAACAGCATCTGTTGTTGGGTACGGGTTTTCCAGCCAACATCTCCTCATCGGGTTGAGTGTTTGCCATTCAATATGTAGCCTTCGCCACGACACATAACTGTCACAACTGGCATAATGCAAGGCTACCGTTTAGGGTTTGGGTTTGCCACTGTCTCCTTTCAGAGTTGAGGGTTTGCCAACATCCATTTTGCAGGCTTCGGGGATGCCAACCAACATCTCTTTTCAGAGTTTAGAGCTTGGCAACCAGGATCGTCGCTTAGGCTCTGGGGGCTTGCCAACATCCGCCTTTGGATTCAGGTTTGCAAGCAACATAAGTGGAGGGTTTGTCGTCCAACATTAAAAGTTTTCCACGATACATGACATAGTGCCAACCAACATCTTCTTCCTTTAGAATTCGGGCTGTGCCGACCGCCATCTTTAAGGTTGCAGAAAGTGTCGCCTCAGGTTGAGGCCTTGCCGCCAACGACATTGCGTTTTAAGCTTGAGGGCTTGGCAGCCAATTTATCTTCTTTTGGGGTTTGCGGGTCTGCCGGCCAATCTCTGCACGGAGATTCGTCATTGCCAAGCAACGATCGCGAGGCGGGTTTGCCTCCCAACATTCACGGCTTGCCGTGCAACGTCATTGCTGAAGTTCACCGTTTCGCGGCCACCTTCTTCGTGACATTGGCTTGCCCACGGTCTCATCTGCTTCGAGGGCTTCGGGTTTGCCAACCAACGGGGTTGCCAACCACGATACCACGATTCTTTTGTCAACCATCATCTCCTTGCAGGGGTTATGGCTTGTCAATCGGTATCTCCATTTAGGGTTTGGGGATTTGTCAACCAAAGTCTGCGTTCAGGGATGTTCGGGGTTCGGGTTTGCCAACCAACATAACAAGTTTGATCGGGTGGAGAGTCTGCCACCCAACATTCAAAAGTTTGCCGCGAGACACAATTGCCATCAGCTTCTTCTGTTAGGATTCGGGCTTTGCCGACCACGATCTTCCTTTAGGGTTGAAGTTGTGCCAGCATCCTCGTCGAAGGTCTTCGGTATGCCGGCCAACATTTCCTTTTAGGGTTTACGGCTTGGCCACCAGCATCGTCTGATAGGGTTTTGATGGTTTAACAGTGTGGATTCGGGTTTCGCCAAGCAACAAAGCATTTCCTGATCGAGAGGAGGGTTTGCCACCCAACATCTACCACACATTGTTGAGGGTTTGCCAGCCGACACCTTCTTTCAGTCTTGTTGGCTTTTCCACGGTCTCATCTGCTTTTAGGGCTTCGGGTTTACCAACCAACATGTCTTTTTGTTCGGGACTAGCGTTTGCCGGCCAGATCCATTGAGGATCGCCATGGGTGGTGTAACGGAACGCTGCCGTTTAGGGTTTGCCAAACAGTATCTTCTTTTGTGGATTGGGGTTTGCGTCAAACACTATCTTCTTTTAGGGTTGAGGGATAGCTAACATCCCTGTTGGAAGTTTAGGTGTATGGCACAATCCGAGGGTGTGGTGTGGTGCGCCCCTGCCGTTTAGGGCTTGCTGGAGCTTGCTAGTCAATGGAATATAGAAGCGAGGCTGCGAATGCTCCGTCCAAGTTCTTTCGGCTAAGCATGGGCCCCCGGGGTCTTGAGCTTTTGGAGTTCTTTTTGGAAGGTTTGGGTATGAACTTGTGGGGGTTCAGGTGTCCTGTCTACTGTCATCAACCGGACATTGCCCTTCTCCTCCTGATCTTCCTTATCGGTGGATTTTCCGGGGCGGCGGCCACTCTTTGGATTTTGTCTCGCCTTTATCCTCCTCTGGAAGCCAGGTCTCAGCCCCGAGGCCCTTCCTCTACAGCTTCTAGCCGGCGCTTAGCTTTGTATGAGCAGTGAGGACGAGGTTACACAGATCTCCTTGCAGCTCCAAGGCCTCACTATCTGTGTTACCAGGTCTCGTGCCCCGCCTGATTTGGCATCTTTGCCTTCCGGCCCGAAAGCAGGCCCAACTCCAAACCCCTCGGGTTTAGGTAGCCACCCTAGTCCCGATCCTGCCTGTGACGGTCCCTCTGCCACTTCCCCCTTGGGTTTAGAGGTTTCCCCTAGTCCCGGACCTGTGTGCAGCGCTTCCTCGGCCACTTCCCCTTCGGGTTTAGACGGTTTCCCTAGTCCCGAACCCGTGTGCAGCGCTCCCCTGGCCACCTCTCCTTCGGGCTTAGGCGGTTCCTCTAGTCCCTACCCCGTGTGCAGAGAGTCTGGACTTGGCTCTTCCCCAGCCCCTGGTATCGGCTCCTCTAGCCTGGCATCGCAGATACCCCTTGCAGGCCCTTGTGGCCCAGGCTCGCCCGAGCCTATCGAGGATACCTTTCCTCCCGTGCCTCCTGCCTAGCTGTCTGCTTCACGGAGCCTTCGAGCCTCTGGGTACTCTGGAGAAGATAGGATAAAGAGGGCTTGGGCCGCTGGTTGCTGGGTTAGGGAGGTTCTTGCCGGTAGGGCCCGAAGCCCTAGGCTGACCCCTCGCATTACCCTAGCCAATCGCTTCTACGCCGTGGCTCGCTCTGCGAACGGTTCGCCTCCCGAGGTTTACCGAAGCCAGCACGACTACCTGATTGCTGTGGGAAACTCGCAGCATCGCTCTTCCTTGTCCCAGGCCTTCCCTACGGAACTTGAGTGCAAGGTTTACCTGGACGCTGCAGGCATCACCGTCTACCTGCCGGGGCCCCGAGCCCATGGACTTTGAAGCGATCGTGCCTGCCGAAGGAGGGTCAGTGGAGCTCCTCCTTTTGGACCCAAGTTTTGATCCACTTCTGGAGGAATGCTTGTCCTCCCCTTGTGCTTGCTACTGTGTGTTAAAGCGACCTGGAGGTCTGATGCTTGTGCTGCCCGCTGGTGCGATAGAAGAGACCTTTTTCGCACTGGCCGATGCTGCCGAAGACCCGGGTATCCTGGGCCCCTCTACCACTGCAGTTTGCCGGGCCGTCGCCTTGACAGAGGCCGGGGAGTGGGCCGCGGCCTCCCCTACTCAACAGATCCCTGTTCGGATCGTGGACTTCGACTCCGCAGTCGCTCTTGGCCTGTCCCCGTTGGCGGCAGGAGCTTTGGACTACACGCCTTTTGTGCAGGCAGACCCCATGCTTTTTCCTTTGGCCGTCGAGGTGGCCGCTGCAGCCCACGCCTGGATCCGCACTCGCCCCGGGAACAGGGGAGCAAACGGCTATGTAACGGCCGAGGAGCCACGAGAGACCTGCTGCTGCTCTTGGCCGTCAGGCGAAAGGAAAGGCGGAAACAAAGCTGAAGCGACCTACGTTGGCCGGCCTCGCCGCTTCTCAGGCGACCTTGCAAGAGCTTGTTGTGTCCCTGGTGGAGCAGGTGCAAAATCTGACCGAGGCCCAGGCAAAGGTTTCCATGTCAGGGGCGCCGGCCGCTCCTCCGCGAAAGGCTGCCCCGCTTCCCGTCGTCGAACCGACCGGCCATGGGGTCCTGCGAGCCCCTCTGCATGCTATGCTGCCTCCGGCTCCGGCCCGGGCGAAGA